GGGAGAGGGCAGAGCGGGGCGCGGGCGCTGGCCGAGGCCGAACTGGCGGTTATTACCGCGCTTTATCCGTCCGTGACGTAAGAAGTGTAACTTTTTTTTGAGTGACGCTACGTGTTACCCGTTTCGAAGGATAAAATAAATCAATTGCGTGCATGCCCTTACTGACGAAATAATTGTAGAGGCAGCATCCCGACAGCAGTTACTAAAGAGCTGCGGAAGAATAAAGTTTCTGCTCCGAGATTGCTTGCGACCCGTCCTGCAAGCGCCCCACGCCGTGCTGCCGAGGCTGCCAGCTCTCGGTCGCGTGGTAGCACAAGTCCAGTTCGCTCCCTGGGAAGAATCTGCCCGTCCAGGGTTTGGACCTACCTTATGATAGAATCATAGAATCGTCAAGGTTGGAAAAGACCCTTAAGATCATCGAGCCCACCCGTTAACCTAGCACTGCCAAGTCCATCTATACCACGTCCTCGAGCACCACATCTATCCGTCTTTTAAAAACCTCCAGGAATGGAGACTCAGCCGCTTCCCTGGGCAGCCTGGTCCAATGCCTGACTACGCTTTCGGTGAAGGAGTTTTTCCTAATATCCAACCTAAACCTCCCCTGGTGCAGCTTGAGGCCTTTTCCTCTTGTCCTATCGCTTGCTACTAGGGAGAAGAGACCAACCCCCACCTCGCTACAACCTCTTTTCAGGTAGTGGTAGAGAGCAATAAGGTCTCCCCTCAGCCTCCTCTTCTCCAGACTAAACAACCCCAGCTCCCTCCTCCACTCCTCATAAGACTTGTGCTCTAGATGCTTCACCAGCTTCCTGGCCCTTCTTTGGACACGCTCCAGCACCTCAGTGTCGTTCTTGTAGTGAGGGGCCCAAAACTGAACGCAGTGCTCAAGGTGCGGCCTCACCAATGCCGAGTACAATCAGACATATTCTCAGCTGAATTTCACTTCTTTCGCGTGTGTGTGAAATAATTGACATTTTTTTAACTATACTGTGTAATTCATAGCACCATCAGTTCTGCTCAAATAAAAATATCTCAAAAATGAAGTTAAGGTGTTATGTTTTAATATATATGTATAGGTGTAGTTACCGTGCTTGTAAAATACATTGTTGCTTCTCAGATCCTGCCTGGTTGCAGGTAAAGGATAATTAAGAGTCGTGAGATGGCATGATAATAGCTTTTATGTTATGTTTCTTAAGCACAAAATTGCTGTGAAGAAAAAAGCATGGATAATGCTTATTACCTTGCATATAGGGAGCAGTATTCTGACTGTCACTGTGCAGAGTGATGACAGAGGATGTTTGTGCTGGCCTTGCCAATCGTCTTTCTCAACAAACCATTTCAGTCATAAGATGTTGGTGTTTTTACTTATGTAGTTTTGCAGAAATACTCTGCTTTAAACATGGTATTCTCTGTCTTCACCCCTGAAATTAGAGAAAGGGAATCCATAAAGGAAGGAAAAACAGCTGTCAAGGTGCATTAGTTCACAGAGCTTTTAACTATAACTAGTTTTGGTGCTGACCGTACTAGTTTTCTGAGTACAAATTGCACACATCTTCATAATTTTTTTTGTGAAAGAGGAAAATCAGAATAAGATTGCAACATGTAATAGCTCTTCTGAACAGAGTCCTGTTCTGATCATTTTAAACTTTCATTTGGTCCATTTGCTTAAAAAGAAATTCCAGTTTGTTCTTGCAACAATTAATGTATCTGCAGCAAAGGTAAAGATCAACTGTATCTACTGTTCCTAGCTTTGGCTAAAGTGTACTTGGGTTTAAGTCTGAGCTTTTATTGTAGACCATGACACGTACTTTAGATGGACTGTCTGGTATCAGTAGCCCAAACTGTGTGTCTCAACATGTGTTGAGATGTCAGAAGGGATGAACTCGCGTGTCCTGTCTCTGTAGTTGTTTGGTCACTTTTAATGAAGTCTGAACTAAATCTGTTGAAGTTGAAAATGAAATAGGAGCTTAAAATGTGTTTCACCTGTGTACACACATGTTATCCTATGTCAGCTGTCAGAAATAGCTGGCCAGTGTATTGAGTGGTATTATGTGAAGAATGCTTAAAGAGAAGCTCTTTACTCTTTTTGTTTGCTTTTTTGGGTTTTTTTGTTTTGTTTTTAATTTTTTTTTCTGTTATAAAATTATACAGTGCATTCCTAACTTGAAAATTTAAAAATCTGTGTTTATGGTTCACATCACCTGGTAGCCTTTGTGGGGTTAACTGTCATATTTGTTGTGCCACTTGTGTCTATGAAAAGTAAAAAAATTTGGAAAATGACTGATTTGAATAATTTATTTCTTGTTTTTGCAGCACGTCAGTGCTTTCATGCTCTAAAGTTGATAAAGAGAGACTGCCTTCCATCACTGCACATCGCAAGATGTGCATCTACTGCCTCTGTGCCTCGCATAACTACACATTACACAATTCATCCTCGGGACAAAGACAAACGATGGGAAGGTAAGCAAAAAAATGCATTATTTAAAAGCTTCTTTATTATTATTATTGTTGTTGTTGTTGTTGTTGTTGCTCAGTTTTAAAAACACTGAAATGTGTTGCTGTTTTTTTCTTTTTACAGAAATTCTGTACTCTTAAATACAGTACTAATATTCCAAATGAAATTTTGTGGTTGCTATCTCACAATGAGTGTCTTTAGTGCTATAAAATGGGATCAGATTAAACTTGATCCTAGTTATTTAAAGAAATTATATAAGCAGCTTTTGCTTTAGTGACTACCACAACAAGATTTAGTTCTGTCAGGTATGTATCTGTTGGATTTTTACAGTTCTTACCGTGAGAGTTTGTGAGAAAATAAGATCAATATATATCTCCAGGCATTCCAGTCTCTACATTCAGCAATTTTAATGGCTTCAATTCCAGGAAAGATACTGATTAATTAGTGTAAAATAAAGTAACTTGTTCTGAATAAGGGTCTTTTTTCTTTTTTTTTTTTTCTCCCTTAACTAGAGTTTCACTGAGTGTCTTTGATACAGCTAGCCAACTTAAGTGTAACATTCTAAGATGATACTTACTTATGGTGCATAGAGATTAAGTATATGTTTTCATGGTATATCTCCTTACAACTTAAAAAGACCTAATTTTACATTGGGATACTAATATCCTCCTGCACTCTTCCAAGTACTGAAGTGGGGATTCTGTTAAATATTTAGCCTCCTGTTATGCAAGGCAATACTACTGCAATACCCAGTAGCCAGTATTACAGAGCAAGGTTTAGTGAGAGAGAGGCTGGGGGAAATGGAAGTTTGATTTATCGTACTATCTTTTTTCTATTAAAGGGGTAAACATGGAAAGATTTGCAGAGGAAGCTGATGTTGTCATTGTTGGAGCAGGCCCTGCGGGTCTTTCTGCAGCTATTCGACTGAAGCAGTTAGCCGCTGAGCATAGCAAAGAAATACGTGTTTGTCTGGTGGAAAAGGCTTCTCAGATTGGTGCACATACGCTGTCTGGTGCTTGTCTTGAGCCAAGGTCCTTAGAAGAACTCTTTCCAGACTGGAAGGAGCGGGGGGTATGTATGAACATCTAAACACTGAAATTAATCACTAGCTTGTAATGAACTCCTTATCTGACTCATTCTGGTATGATTTAGTACCTTGATACTTAGTACCATTTTAAAATATGTTTATCTGACAAAACAAAAAAAACCCAACCTTCTTTTTAGTCTGTTTCCTCTAGTTCGACAATGCTAAGCTTTTATGTGTACGCAGATATGCTGTGGCCTTTGCTCTTTTATATAGTAGTCTTGCTGCATGTACGCAGTACGTCTGGTGCATCCCAGGATTACCGCATTACGCTTACCGCATTTGTGCAGAATCTGGCTCCCGTGCACAAGCAGCAAGATGGTCGATTCTTAGCAATGTCAGACATGTTGCTTCTATACAATAGTTCTTCATAGTGTCAGGAAATGGTGCATAGTACGCTGATCTTTGTGCAGACATAGTGGTGTAACAGAGGCCTAAGATGCTTTTAGGAGGGAGGATAGCAAGAGATGAGCTGCCACCTCCGCCAGAACAGCCATGATTTGCAGCCGGTTGCCTGCTGTCAGCTCAGAGCTGCAAGAAGCGGGCCATCAACTAGTTGTTTTGTCTTACTGGGCTAAACATGCAAGTTGAGCTGCCTTCTTTAGAACGGTCTAGAATATTGATGTAGTACAAGCCTACGTACAAACTGTAGAAGTTATTTGCAAGTCCCTATCCCAAGTTTTTTACCTCAATAGTTGCATTAATTCTTGCCTGATGAGTGCCTCATAAGGTACTTTATCTTCTCTCTTGTGATACTTTCCTATGGAAGTGCTTTATTAAACCTTTAATTGACTGCCAGTTCGATTGTTTGATTTCATTTTATTTGTTGTTCTTTTCATTGGATTGGCTAGAAAAACGTAACTCAGTACTGTTTCTGTTTTCTTTTTTTATGTAGGCTCCACTTAATACTCCTGTAACTGAAGACAAGTTTGGAATTTTAACAAAGAAATTTAGAATTCCAGTGCCGATTCTTCCAGGTAAAGTTTGGTGAGGTGGTAAAAAGTCATCTTTCTCAGTATCTTTTTCAGTTTTTCCATGAATGAAACAATTGATTTGATTCAATGTAGTACAGCAAGTGTATGTAGAATGTAATAGCTTCCAGTGATAGGGTCCCTGTAGATGACGGCTGTAATAACACATGACGTTACTGTGAAGATAGTAGTTGTAGAAGAAGATAAGACATCTCATGTATACACCTTTTGTTATTTTGCTTAGTGTTCTATGTTTTACATGTGTGTGTCTTTTTTGCCTAGGACTTCCAATGGTTAATCATGGAAATTACATAGTACGTCTGGGCCACTTTGTGAGTTGGCTCGGTGAGCAAGCAGAAGCTTTGGGTGTTGAGCTTTATCCAGGCTATGCAGCAGCTGAGGTAATAATGACATCAGTGTGTATAAGAAAAGCATTTTTGGAACCCCCTTCACTTGACTGCCAGTTTATTTGTACATTCACAACATTCTTCTTATAAGAATTGTATTGTGAAAACTCTGTTTCAGTGTCTAAATTCCCTGGCCCAGATCCAGCAAAGTGCAAGCAGATCATACACTATATTAATAAATACATAATCTTCAAGTTTGACCATTAAAGACGTAGCGCTTAGAAGTTCTGCATTAGAACT